AAAACGAAAATCGAAAATGTCAATTGCTCGGAACAATCAAAGAGGCCGAAATCCTCCCATCGGCAGCCTTCAAAGGACTGGACCACAAACCCATTCAGTTGCTGCTTAACTTTAATGTGCCAGTTCAAACAGGCCAGGGTTTTTTCAGGTTGAATAAATCCTTATTAAAAACCGACAGAATGGTGGCGTCAGTCCAAGAAAACTGGGCCCTTAATAAACAGCGAGAATCTATGCAGACAAACAGCCACCAATGGTTCATTGGTAGCTACACAGAGTTAACACGGACGGTCTCAGCGGAATCCAGAGATATTGCTAGAGACCGGAAGAAAAGAAGGGAAGAACTCCAGTTTGCTATATCTGTCGCATAAGCAAATCTGGCGGAGAATCCAACCAGTGGATTCTACCAAGAACTACTAGACGACACTAAAGAAGAACTAAACGAATGGAGAAGATGGGAACTAGAGGTCTACAAATACGATCTAGGATGACAGACTATGCACTGACAAAATTCTTCTTCTCCAAAACCAAGGCTAACGCAAGGAACAACATGATAGAGGCCCTCAAGGACCCAACAGATGCAGGGACCACAAAAACAACAGGCCCTGAGATGGTAAGGATAGCCAGGTCCTTTTACGCAGACCTATACAAATCCAAGACACCCTCACCCCCGACAACAGCGAACTTAGCAGCTCGCCAACTGATGCTCTCGTACCTCGACAGAACCATTTCGACCAGTCAGGCGGAAGGCCTGGAGAACCCCCTGACCCTGGCCGAACTACACGCAGCCTTGAACCAGATGGGAAATGACAAGGCCCCGGGCATCGACGACCTCTCTAAAGAATTCTGGAGCTGTTTCTGGCCAACCCTGGGAGAGGACCTGCTCTTTTTTTTCAACGAAGGCATGCGCAAAGGAGGCCTAGGAAAGGAACTGAGCACCAGCGTGGTTTCACTGCTGTACAAGAAGGGAGACAAAGAAGACCTGAAAAATTACAGACCTATTTCCCTACTAACCACGCCCTACAAAATCCTCCCCAAGGCTCTCACAAACAGAATCACAAAACTAACGAACAACTGTTTTCACATCGACCAAGCTGGCTTCATCCCAGGTCGATACATATTGGACAACATGATGACTCTGAACGAGGCAGCAAAAAAGATCGCGGAAAAACGAATGAAGGCTACAATCCTGTTCTTCGATTTCGAGAAAGCCTACGACCAAGTTAATTGGGATTTTCTCCATTCATGCATGGAGAAAATGGGGGTAGGCCTGGATTTCATAAATTGGGTGAGAATTTTGTACGCAGACGCAACAGGAAGAGTTCAGGTTAATAGGATCCTATCGGAAACCTACCCAATCTCGCGATCAGTCAGACAAGGCGACCCACTGACTCCACCCATTTTCCTCTTCATTATGGAAGCCATAGCGTCCTTTCTCCGCAAAGACTCATCCATCGATCGCCTTACAGAACGGAACTTCAATCCGCTGCACGACTTCGCCCTACCCACTACACTCATGTTCGTTGACGACCTTACGGTCCTCATCTATGCAAATAACAGCTCCTTCCAAGCACTGGTAAGGGCAATGGAAGCCTTCAAATTAGCTTCAGAGATGAGGGTCAACTGGAACAAAACTGATGGATGGTGGCTAGCAGACGACACTCCTCCCCAACCACCAGATACAACCACACCCATGACATGGACCACGGGAGAGCAAGCACTAAGGTTCCTGGGCATCATGATCAACAAGGAAGGGGTTTGGCCAGGAATGGGTCAGAACCTAATCGCCAGGGCAATCACTCGACTGGCCCAGTGCAAAAACGCTCAGGCCTCTCTAATCGGGCGGGCGCTACTAATTAACACAACTATCTTCTCCACACTGTGGTATATGGCATCCATCTGGTCCCCCCCAGACGACGACCTCAAGAAGCTGAAAAACAGGGTGAGATGCTACATGTGGACAGGTGATCCCAACAGGACCACTTGTATCAACAGGGTGGCATGGAATCACATCACTAGGAAACCGCAGGAAGGGGGCCTCGGGATCATCGACCCCAAACAGGAATCCATAGCACTGCAGATGAAATGGATCCTCAAGATCCTCACCAGACAGTTCCTCCCATGGACCTAGATGGCACTAGACAACATCAGAAACTTAGCTCCCATTAACTCCCCCCCGAACATGAACGGCCTGTTCTGGCTCATGGCAAAGGATTGGACAATCAAATCCGACAGACCACGCAGGAGAAACCCTGCACTGCTCAGCACAAACCCCACTCCAACAATCATTTCATATTGGAGCCCCACCATCAAAGCCTGGCGCAGAATGATGCCTAGCAAACACGATGCACCCAGGAAACACAGAGGAAGTCCTGAGACAACCTCTCTTCTGCAACCCCTGGATCACCGACCCCAGCGGGGCGGAATGGACTCTACGCTCCAAAGACCGTAGATGGCTATCCTGGGTAGAAAAAGGTGTGTGGCAGGTCAAACACATCTGGGTAGAAGACCAAGGACGATGGGCTACTGATCAAGAACTACGCCATGTTTTAAAAGGCTGTCACTCCCTATCCGACAACTTAACGTTAATCCAAAAAAGCATCCGTACACAATGGTTCCCCCTCCTAAAAGAGGAATTCTCGTGGAAATCCGGGGACTGGGGAATACTAATTTTCCAAACCCAGCCTACCAGAGCATACAAATTCGTGGTTAGAACCAGCCCATCCGGCTATCTATCCAAGTTCTACTCCTACCCCATCGCCAAGCACAGCACAAACGAGTTGGGAATCCAAAACAAGGATCCCCAGTGCGATATACTCGAAACCTTCCGACTGAGGAAAGTGAGAGTCTCAAAGAACAAACCCTGGAAACTCTTCCGATCGGACCTCAGCATCTCTGAGCTAGAATTCGACCCAAAAGAATGGGTTTGGAAACAGGGTAACGATAGACGAATACGACGTCAAATTCGGTTACGAGCTGGGCCTACAAACCACAGACCCGGATCCCAGACTCAAAGGGAAATAGAGGGAGATTTTGAATCTAAACCCCTCGGTCCCCATATCCATCCCGTGGTCGAAGTTCCTATCCATCAGACCAGCTAGGACTCAAAGTATGCAATGGCTCATAGCGCACACCTCACTACCAACCAACCAATGGCTCCATAGAAGGAGAAAACACAGAGACCCCAACAGCACTGACCTATGCAAACTCTGCTCAGACAACGTCCCGGAAGACATACCCCACTGCCTCCTGTACTGCACGCAAGCAGCATGGATATGGAACAAGGTGCACAACCTGTGGTCCATTCGCTTCTCATCACCCCCCCCGCTCACAACTCCCCTGAACATCTTGCTCCTATCTAACAACACTAACAATCTCAAAGGCGGCAAGGAAGTATGGTTCCAGCTACTCAGGAAGCTGGCCCTATGGGTTATCTGGAAGAGGAGATGCACCAAGACGATTGAAGGAACTAAGGTGACAAGAGAAGAAATGTGGGCTCTACTACTGAGAATGGCTGAGACTGAGATTCGATTCAGATGGAGGGAAATAACATCGACGACGAAAGGCAGACCAGAAAGGATAGCCACAAAGAGAAGGGTGTTCAAAAGAGACTGGCTTCTACAGGGAAGGATCGCCACTGTGGTGGAAAACAGACTGATTTGGAAAAAGTGGCACAATACAAGGATAGGACCACAATGATAAGCAAACTGAGATTATAATCTCAACAGTATAGACATCTCTCCCCTTTTCTTGCTTCATATGTATTATCTGACAGAGACACAGCAGACTCTGAGAGGAAAAGTGGTAGGGCAAGCTGACAGCCAATCCTCCTGTTAAGGAGCAATCAATGCTGGTCAGGGTTCCTTCGGCCAAACGGAAGGAAGCGTGAGGGTGTTCACCATGTAATCCAATTTTTGACTTACCGGTGGAAAGGAACCGGACTGACGCTCCCCAGAATGGATATGGAGCCAGGACCATAAGGACCTGTTTAAAAAAAAAAAAAATAATAATAATAATAATAAAAAAAAAATCAGTTGCTAACTCTCGAAAACGAATTTGCGCCAAAGAAGGAATTCCGAAGAAAAAAAAATTAAAAAAATCGGAATTGGCAGTTGGGTAGAAAATCGCAAATGGGGGATAATTAGGTTAACCTAATCAATCAATCAATCAATCAATCAATCAGTCATGATCAGTTGATCAATCAATCAATTTATCAATCGATCAATCAATCAATCACTCGATCAATCAGTCAATCAATCAATCGATCGATCGATCCCCCTTTTTCGCACGTCAGGTCAGGTTGGAATCCTGATTTATGCTCGGGGCTCCAATACGAATTGATACCTGCTCAGTTGGGCAATGTATATGAAGCCAAGGATCCGCAAAGTGTTGAAAAGGACTCGAATGGACAATGCAGCGTCAGCAAAACATCAACAAGCAATGTACATCCAGATACATATGAAAATAGCACAACATAGCGCAGCGGAAGACTCAAAGATATGACCGGACCTGTCAGGTAATGACATGACATCCCATCAGACAACACACATGTAAGAGAGGGAGGAGGGACCGCATACATAGAAGAAAGGTCCCTCCTTGCACACACACATGGGGGAGATACCACGGACAAGAGATGCGGGGGGAGGTGAGACGAAGATGGAGGTGAGGGAGAAGAGCAAGATCGCGATAGCAAAGTCCAAAAATAGTCTCCCTGCGGAATGTCCAATGAATGTCTGCCACAAAAATGTCGAATCAGATCCTGGGCTTCATGCCCGATGTAACCTCTGCCTGTAACCTCTCTCTCTCTCTCTCTCTCTCTCTCTCTCTCTCTCTCTCTCTCTCTC